AAACCAATTAAGCCTAAATTTCATTAACCATGGAATAAAATGTCTTAACCAAACCGTCCAAAATTAACACAAAAACCAAATTAACCAAACCAAAGTTTAATTGGTTTGGTTAGCTTATATAAAATGATAGTTTATGTTTGTTTTCATGTAATGTTATGTCATTTGGTTAACCAAATGACATAACATTACACGAAAACAAACATAAACTACCATTATCGGATTAACCAAATGACATAACATTACATGAAAACAAACATAAACTATCATTTTATATAAGCAATAATAATTAGACTAACCATCCATAATTATCATCGTCATTCGAGTTATACATCATGAATGAAATATGGGTTTATAAACAATAATAATAACACAATGAATTAAATATGGGTTTCAAGAAAAACAGTTCGTTATTAAATGCATGGAAAAAAGGCAAATTAAACATTGCATGGAAGTTCATTGAATGCATGGAAAAAAATATAAAAGGATTAAATGTAGTTTTCAATTTTCAATAATAATTAGCTCGTTATTAATTTGACAACGAAAAACTAGACATTGCATGATAAAAAGTTTCATTGAATGAATGAGAAAAAATTAAAATTACATTTCAGATATAGAAATATTGAATGTACGAGGACGGATATTACTCATGATTACCCGAAAATTGCGGGTATGGGGATGAGGATGTAAAATCTTTCCATTTGCGTAGGTGATGGATATAAGTTTGAGTATTTGGAAATGGGAATGAGGATGATTTTGGGAAACACGCATCATTGTCATCCCTAATCATTTGTAGTATTGGTTAAAACATTTTTCAAGACTGTTATGCAATCTCATTTGGTTCAAGTAGTGGGTTATGGATGGCAGTGTTTTAGTTTGGTAGTAGTGTGATTAATTTTTTCAAGAACCAGTTGATCTCTATAACTTGAAATGTTGAGGGAGGTACAACAATGATTCTTATATTACATATTAATACGCCTCTTCAAACTTATGTCCCCTCATATTGGCTTGGAGTTTGTACAGTTCAAAAATGGAATCGGTGAGATTTGAACAAAAGATCTCTCGATCCCAAACGACTCTGATACCACTTGTTGGACACAGTTTGCTATCTAAATACAATGACGACTTATGGAAAAAGCATTTCATGAGCATATATGCAACCTGATCTTCTATCTGCATATAATGTAGATTAACCATCATCATAAACCATATCTCGAGCATAATAAACATGTATATCGATATGCTTAGTACAATCATACAACACTAGATTGCCAAGTATATGAATCGCATGAATGTTGTCTACATAGAAATTCATAAGCATCAAACAAGTGATTCCCAAACCAATATGTCACGACTGTTTCTCTTCGGATCGGGAAATTGGAGGATTTGACAATGCAAGAATGAAATCGCACACACACAACACACATATTTACGTGGTTCACTAACACAATGAGTGTTAGCTAGTGTACGGGCAGGAGAGAGCCAATTTCACTATACTTTGAGGAGATACAGATTACATAGGAGTATGAGAAGTATTTATAGTACTTCTCCTAGGTCTAAGAGACCCCGTGACTTCCAGCCGTAGTGCTGATAGTCCGATTCAAGTCACATCAAGTCATCAACACAATCAGTAGGTGACGTAGTCATACTAGTTCAGAAATGACATCATACATTGCCTTTTATTAAGCCTCTATGCATGACTTGGATACTTTATCTTGTTTCTTACACCCTAGATATATAAGCTTCTCCAAACTGAATGCACCAACCTGTAGTGGATCGAGGAGTATCTATACAATCGGCATAGTAATAATACAAATATGCACGCAGAGTATCCGGGCCAGTGGAAGGGGGAAACGTGGCTGACGTTTCGAGTTCCCTGCAAATGCCGCAAAATACGATGAACAGCAGTTAGATGATCCACACAAGGGTTCATTATAAACTGGCTAACCATTTTATTGCATATAAAATGTAAGGTCTGGTGGCTGATTGATAGATTAAGCTTCCAACTATGCTCCCATAATGTGAATCATCCCTCTAATTGATGATCACATAGAAGATTAGAGATATACTTATGTCGACTGAGTAAAATCCTTTTTGAATTATGAGAAACCTTTATGCCCAAGAAGTATGATAACTTCCTAGATCTTCAATGTTAAAAGATGATCGAAGACCTTCCTTGAGTCGTCGTATTCCTTCTAGATCAGTTCTTGTAATTACCATATCATCCACATAATGCAAGAATCACTAGTCTAGTTGATGATGTTTTACTAGGTTGTCAAACCGGTTTATGCCAGTGTACCGGTTTAGCAAGTGGAATGGTTCAACCGGTGGCACATACCGGTTTGTGCCGGTTCATACCGATCAATATTATAATTAAAATTATAAATACTCATATTTAAACATGACATTTAACGTCAATACCTAAACATTTATACTTGAATTCAACAAATAACATCAATATTTAACTTTTATACTCATAAAATAAATAATAAAATAATTTTTATCAATTAAATTCTCTAAATTAAAGTCATTTTACTTAGAGATTCGTATATCGATCATGCCGGTCATACCTGTAGTGTCACGCCGATTTTATGACCGGTATCGGTTGAACCCGGTACAACCGGTGGCACGCCGGTCTGCGTGACAAGTTTTAGTAAAGAGGGAAGGATCATTCAAGCTTTTCCAAAATCCAAAGCTAAATAGAGTAGTTTGAAAATTCATTATAAATCTTTCTCAACAACTCAGATTACTTACTATCAGAAGATTGTTTTTTACACCCAACACTTGAAGTCATGCATATAAGTTCTTTTTCAATTAATTCTTATTCTGTACAGTTTGAATCGTTGAGTTCCTGAATTGAATATGCTCCGAATAGCACTTAACAAATGTGGTGAACTAAATTAAAAACGTTAAACAAAACTCTAAGTACTCACCTCTAGAATTCTTCCTTGTATCTTCTGACCACAATCTCTCTCTCGTCTCACCACATCAACCGTCAAAGGACATACTCTGCACTATGAGTCTAACTCACACACCAGATTGACCCGTGTGATCCGGGCCTTTGCTATTTGTTAATGTATGACGTAATGAGTAATATCCCAAAAACGTCTAATTGCTCATTAGTGTTAAGAAGACATCATTGGTGACCTTTTTGTTACTAGAAAAAGAATTTTCTCTTCTTCTCATTTATTACGTTCATACAAACATGTCAACTATTCTAGTTACACTTTCAGATTGCTCCTAAAGTTTCTTATTAACCAAAAATGGTTTGATTCTTAATAGGAGTCATCACTTGAAGTAATGTATTGTGCAGTTATGTGCAACCGACTGCGACTGCTGCTATTTCTAGGTGCCCTCCCCATCCATAAAGTGGATTCCATGCCATCAGGGCTCAGGCCTCTAAAAGACTTGTTTTGGTTACTACTTACTACTTACTAGACAAAGACAATTACCCAGTTTTCACGGCCACGGCCAAGACTCAAGACTTGGTCCAGCCTACGACCTGGGTCAGTAGTGGTTGTGATTTGTGGGTGTTAATGCAGCTCCCCTCAAAATGCAGGTTTTGCTGGCAAGCATACTTTCTTCTTTTGGTTACCAGCTGGCAAGCATACAAAATTGGTATGGAATATCTCCCAATTTCGAACAAGTCTTACGGCAATGTGCCAAAGTGGAGGATAGTGATTAGGGTTGCAAATGAATCGAGTCGAGTCGAATTTTACTCTAGCTTGAGTTCGGCTCGTTAATAAACGAGTCGAGCTCGACTCAGCTCGTTTATTAACGAGCCGAGTCGAGTTCGAGCTAGCTTGTTTACTAAAATCTTGACATTATTTGGTACTTCATTTTGTATATCGTTATACATATGATTTATTTTGTTAGCTAATCTCATATTATACTTTGTTGGTATCATATATAATTTAGTTAATAAATTTTCACTACTCAAAATCATGTTTTTTCATAGTATCGAAGCAATCTATGATACATAATTTCTTTTTAAATCAGAAACTAAGATATATTTGCTCACATACTCAACGTGTTAAACTTTATATATGGTGAGATATATAATTTAACAACCATATGAATTAAAATCATAAGATATAGATTGATTCGTCCATAAGCCTTTAATCGAGTTAGCTTGCTAGCCACATGTTGAGACATATCATGAGCTCTAAACAAGGCAGCTCACGAGTTTAGCTCAACAAGCCACCGAGTTGAGCTAGCTCGCGAGCTTCACGAGCAATGCAAAGCTTAGCTTATGTTCGGCTCGTTTATTAACAGTCGAGTTTCGAACGAGTTTTTTTCGAGTCGAACGTCGAGCCGCTCGCGAACAGCTCGACTCATTTGCAGCCCTAATAGTGAGATAGGGATATTAGCTACCCATTCAACTCCATGGACCCATTTTGAATTGGTCCCACTTCACATTGAAGGTTTACATCCTTGGACCTTTCTGGCTTCTGCATCGAGTTGTTACAATTCATTAATGCTGTGTGTAGTGTAACGTATTGGAGAGGCAATTTGGTTGAAATTTCTTTGATAAGATTGACAGACAAATCAGACATAGCTCATGTTGATAGTCAGGCCTAAATCCATGTTAGAAGCTAAACCCAGAAAGCAATTTGCCACCTACAACACAAAATTAATTTGACACTACAAAAGAAAACTGATATTAAATTCGATTTCGTAGAAGTTGCTCATTCGACATTACATACAAACATGTTTAACCCTCGTTAAAAATCATGTTGTATATTCGTTTCCAAATCTTATATAAACAAGATCTCAATATCAAGACTCGCTTTTATTATTATGAACAAAACGAACCATTAAAGCAACTGAACAAAAGAGCAACCTCTTCTGACCGTATTAAAGATAATATACACATGATAACACAGATCTCTTCATATTGCCACACTCGAGATCAATCTCACTAATTTGATCTTTTATTCTATTTCAAGTTCGAGACGAAATTTAATTTGAATTCGGTTACAATTACATTATCCTAAAAATAATCAAGCCATGTGTGCTTCAAACGCTACCGGAAGACCAACTTCACCGCACCCTTCCAACATCGCCACAACCTTCTTCATCGACGGCCGGTCCTTCGGATTAGGACACAGGCACCACAACCCAACCATCACAGTTCTCTCAAACCTCCTGTAATCATTCCAAGCTTCCGAATCCTCCTCGGCGATAATCTCGCGCAATCTCCCAGCCCTCACACACTCCACCACCCAATCCGTCAGAATCACGCCTTCTCCTCCTCCCATCTCGTCACCATCACAACCACTCAAAACTCGATGCAGCTCCATGTGCCTTCTACAGAAGGCAATTTCCAACAGCACGACCCCGAAGCTGTAGACATCGACCTTAACGGTCACCGGAGCGTTTTTGAGCCACTCGGGCGCCATGTAACCCATGGTCCCTCTGGCCACGGTGCTGGTCCGCGTCTGGTCCTTCATCAGAAGCTTGGCCAGCCCGAAATCCGCGATCTTGGCGGTGTAATTGTCGTCCAACAGCACGTTCTGCGGCTTGATGTCGCAGTGGATGATCTGCGTCTCGCACTCCTCGTGCAAGTAAACCAATCCCCTGGCGATTCCCATTGCGATCTCTGCTCTCTGTTCCCACCCTGGCTTCCTCCTTCCCATCTCTCCTTCCCCGCTGCTACTAAACAGGTGATCGGATAGCGTTCCTTTCTTCATGAGCTCGTAGACCAGCACGCGGTGCTTCTTGTTCTCGTTGCAGAATCCCAAAAGCCTGACGAGATTCTTGTGATGGGTCAGAGCGATTACCTGAACCTCGGTTAGAAACTCCTTCTCCCCTCGTTCCATCACATTCTCCAGCACCTTCACCGCCACTTCCGCTTCCTCGTCGTCTTCCAATGTCAGGATTCCGCTGTAGACCGTCCCAAACGCGCCCTTCCCAAGCCTGTTTCGAAACCCGTTCGTCGCTTCGTGCATTTCCTGAAACGAAAACGACTTCAGATTTATCTCTACCGCCCTCGGCCTCTGAATCGCGGATTTATCATCCCTCCTCCGCATGAGCGGGTGATGGTAAACCGCGATCGTCGCGAAAGCTAAAGTCATTGCAGTGCAGGAAAGAATCCCGAGCAGCAACGAGAGCTTGGAAGGGGGATCATTATTCCCCTTCCGAGGTTCAATTCCACTAGTTGTACCGTTGATCCTAGGCACTTTGAGGAATGCCACAATGTTGTTGGTGGACGGATTGCTCCTCCTGCCATTCAAAAGGGGCATTCTCTTCTTGTAACAAATCGATTCGACCAACACCCCTGCCGCGGCGTAACAATCGTCCATCACAGCTTGCCTGCATTGCTCCACATTCAACGGAGTGAGCCTCGCCATGTCGGCGAACTGTCCATTGGGGAAATCGGCATTGTCGATGGTGACGAGATCGAATTGTCGAGAATTCGGATTCGTGGAATCGCAGAAATCCATCGCCGCATTCGGGTAGCAGCCTTTGGAAGGCACATTCGGATCCCAGGGAGAGTAGCCCGGCAAGCATTTGCAATCAATTGTTTTGTTGTCCAGCGAAGTGCAGAATCCGTACACTCCACAGATGTTGAACGGGAGGCAAGGCTCCGAACCGATTGAGTCCGGCTCCCAAACGACGGTCCATCTGGTGCCGTTTCGCTTGTTGTAGACGAACTGCTGGATGTTTCCCCTGTCGTTGATCGTCGCCCGATGATAGTAATCTTGAATCGGACCTGGGATTCGGGTCGTCATTGGGTAGAGAGTTGAATTGTCGTCCCTGACGTACATAAACGCCGTCGTTTGGTTGAAAACCCAGCTCACGTTCTGTTTCCCTGCCGTTAACGTGAACCAATAGCCTGGATCGGCGAACCTGTAAGCGGAAATCACGACGTTACCGTCGGATTGAAGCTCCAGCATGTAGTTCCCCGTGGAGTAATCCGCCGTTCCGTTTGCGTTGGAGAAGAGCTTCTGACCCATGACCAGGGTCTGGCCCAACAGAATCGTATCCGTCGGGAAATCGAAGCTCTGCCACACGGCGTCGCCGGAAGCAGAGGAGCTTCGGAGGACGAAATTGCCGTCGTCTTGCATGGCGGCGGAGCCGGCGGAGGTTCCGTTGTAAATGAAGAGCTCGGTCCCGTTGGAATGCGTGAGAAGGAGCTGTCCTTGGAGCGTTAAGGTGACCGTGGCTCCGATTTCGGCTGGGTCATCACGGTTTGCGGACCAGACCAGAGTTGTGTCAGAGATTTTGTCGTACCAAATTCCGGCGAGAAATTTGTCGGAGGAAAGACGGTGGAATCCGAACGCGAAATCGCCGGAAGGCGAATTCCACGTGGATTTGGATCCTGTGCCTGCAGTTATGCTGGAACCTAAGTTAATCAAGCTCGTAGTAGCCGGCTGAGCGAAACAGAGGACTGCAGAAAGAGCAAGACACAGGAGGAGAAGCTGGCCAGCGAAACTCGCCGCGGAAGCCATTTTTTTTGGGTTTCAAGAAATAAAACCGGGGAGAATTTTTTATGGAGAAATCAGAGTAAGAAATCATGTCAATGGAAATGAGCTGGAAGGCAGATATGGCAGAATGAAACAGGGGTCCCGCCATGGACGACTTGGAAAGTAGTGGTGCGTATGAAATGGATCAAATTGCAGCATTAGACTTTCTCCGGTCATCTTAATCGGTGGATGTGATGGTCAGGATTCATTTAATTATTAACAAAATTATACATTGAGTCAATGGATCTGTTCATTGCAGTCAAAGATAGTTACAAATTTGAGCAAGCAATCAATTTTGATTTCTACATAGTACTTAAACCAGTCCTTAATCTTGTTTGAACATCGGGTTTCGTTCAAAGAAATTAGCGGGTCGGAGTTCAAATCCGTCATGGATCGTCGACATGATCGGGAAATCTTCCTGGCACGGGTTGTGATGTAACCCAACCGTGTACCAAACCACTATATCCCGGTTCTCAATCGCCCGATTCTTCCAGGCCCAAATCGACAACCCGTCTTCCCCTCTGCTCCGGTCCGCGTAAAACCCACCCGCCCATCGCTCCGACTTGTTATAAGCGGTTACCCAGACCTGATACTTCGTGTAGCCAGCGCGAATCTGCGGGTAATCATAATCGCTCAACAGAGAGCTAACCGGCTGACCGGTAATCAACCGATACCCAATTTGGTTTCCCAGCCTGGTTCGCTTATTCGGGTTCACAACCAACAACTCAGCCGGCTCCGCTCCAACCCGAACTCTCCCTTGGGATTCGGTTTTCGCCGTTTCCTTAACGACCGTCCAGTAACTTCTTCTCGGAGACGGCGGGTTAGCTGACGGAGGGACTCTTGCCGTTTGTAGCTTGGCTTTCACGAACGAGTTTCTGTTACCGTCCACGTCCAGGTCCAGATAGTAAGTTAGGAAATGGTCGTGATTAACAGCGACGGCGTTTTCCGTCACTAGAGTTCCGTACGTGTTTCCCGTTTTCCCGTCGCTATAGATCTGCTCTGTTGCCTTCATCTCCAGGATTCCTGTCAGGTCCACCTGTAACAAAATTTGACAAATCGGAAAGCAAAATCAGACCCGAATTCCTCTATAGAAGAAAAGATCCAATCTTTTATTTGGATTAATTGAAAACTAACCCCGACTTTGATCGAGCCGCTTTGCTTGAACTCCCAGTCAAGAATATAATCATAGTTTCCAACTGTGGCCACCATTCTGACAACCAGGCTAATCTCCGGCTCCCCACTTCTGATCTGCAACAAAAAAATGAACATGCTTCACAATCAGCTTTGTATTAAAATTAAGAATCGGAATTTACAGAGACCAAAATGGGTTTATTACCACTCTGCCAGGGACATTGATCTCGGTATGTCTCATCCCCACATCACCACTATACCGCTCGAAAACGCAGATCACATTCGCCATTTTCTGCGCCTTCCCGTCTCCTCCGGCGACATACCCATCAAGAAACAGGGCACTGGCAGGGCAATCGATCGCCGGCTGAAGCGTGTCGGCACTTCGGCCGAACCCGAACTCCCCGATGTCCATGAATGTCCTGTAGTACCACTCTGTAGTCGGGTCCATGTACGGCACAAATGTCTCGGATACGTGGCCTCTGTATAAAACCATCCGAAAATTCTTGGTCACCGGATCGAGCACCGAAGCCGTCGATATCGTGACGCCGGCTCGCGCATCGAACGACAGGTGAAATTCCCAATTCGCCCATCGAACGTTGTGGCCGTCGATTTTGAACCCGGGACCGGAGATGTTGTACGTGATGATGGAGTTTTCGGCGAATTTCTTCGATCGGAAGTCGGTGCCTTCGGATTTGGGCAGGGGAGCTCTGAACCTGTCGGAGTAGCTTGTGATCCTCATCGTGTCGACGTCGACGAGGAGGTTGATCCCTTCGATCGGCCTGGCGAAGACGTTGACCGATCCTCCTCGGTAGAAGCAGTTGACTCTTAGTATGCGGGTGGTAACGGTTTCTCCGTACCATCCCGCGGTCATCGGGATGCAGGAGACTTCTGATATGTTCAGGCCCCTCGAAACGATCGAATCGATGAATTTCGAGTACTTCAGTGGAAGCTTGCTCGCCTTGCAAACCATTAATCGTAATATCGTAAGATTTTAAAAGCAGAAATTACTCCGAGTTGTAATACATTTAAGTTTCGAAAATTCGTGACAATGTACCATACCTGGAACAACTCCATGAAAGACAGAGGAGGGTAGCCATGGCCGGTGTAGACGTGGTTAGAGACAATGGAGTTCGTGGCCAGGTCGAGTACGAGCTCGTAGGTCTTGCCTCCCGCTCGAACCACGGCCTTGGCCTGTCGAGCCGGAGGTTTGATCTTGGTGGGTTTGGGTTGGGATTTCGAGTCGAGCCACCTGATGACATCGGATTTGTCGGGTTCTGCAATGTCAACGAAATGGAAAGTGAGATTCGGGAGGCTGCCAAGATTGGAATTTTGGATGATATGTTGTATTTGGTTTATTTCGTTTGGGGTGAGAGGATCTAGCGGGTGAGAAAGGCTAAGAAGAGACGAGAAGAAGGGCAGGGCAAAAGCTAGAGCTAGAGCTAGGAGCAGAGGATTATTCATGGATGGAGGTTCTTCTTGTTCTTTTTCCTCTTTTGTCAACTAGTCATACTGTTAATGAGGAATTTAAAGGAGACAAGTATGAACTATGAAGTATCTCCTTACTGATTGATCTTACTTTCTTTATTCCCTTTGAGGAGTAGTAAAGAAACTTGCACCGTTTGCCGTGGCTCAGTGGGTATACTGCACCTTTGATTAACAATCCTTAAACTAGAGAAGCAGAAATGAGAAAAGACAATTTTGAATGAGTTAACAATCCTCGAATCGTTATATGATTGTAAATATTAACGATTGATTTACATACAAGTTATATAAGGCCTTCTACGTGATTGCATTTCGGATCTTTTTCGTATGAAATAAACAAAGAGAGTTGACACTCATAATTGTGGCAGTGTTTGTACTGGCAAGAGTGGTTGTCACGTTGGCTCAGATGATAAACAAATTAAGGTCTCATTTCTTGTAGTGAGAGCAACAATAATGTTCCTTGGCTTTGCAGCATCCTGTTTTTAAGTGTTTGATTTTATCCCTTTTCCTATGTCTAAAGGAGATGGGGCTCGATACTACCATGTTCTTGTAACATCAGCGCACAATCATGATCATCGGAGGGTGAGAGTCTCTTTGGGCACATGTTGCTCTTACAACACCTGAGATGGATGCTTCAAGTTTGGTATTTGAACATCAGTTTTGTTTGCTGCCAAATCAACTGAAATTCATTTTATAAACATCAGATTTAATTGGCAGGAAGCAAGTAGAGTCTAGTTTGCTAGTTTTTGTCGAATGGGTTTTTCGTCCTCCAGATTTATCATGAAAGAACCCAATAAATTATTGTATATAATTTTATCGTGCGAAATCATTGAATAAAAAAAAAAGATAGTGGACTAACCTATTGTTAACTCAATAGAACGTTAATTGGCTGAACTTTTTTTTTTAAAGCAGAAGAAACAACTTATCGACAGTTTACTAGAAAGAGGAAAACAATCAAATTTGGTCACTCTCTAACCTCACTATCTCACAACCCTTAAAACTAGCTAACTAATTTAATAAAGGGTAAATACAATTTAATATCCAAACCTTTCATTTTAAACAATATAATAGCCAAACCTTTTTGAAAACAATCTAATATCCAAATCGTCAACTTTCCGTTCGTTTAACAGTTAGTTGACACTTCAAAAAGCTTTGTTTAGGGGAAATTGTCACAATACAACTTTGTTTTCTTGTTTTGGCATTGCAGATGACTGAATATTTAGATATTCTATACCATCATGGTGGAGTCATGGACTTCTCGGGTTCGAAACTACGATATGTTGGTGGTTTTTTGGAGAAGATCTCGATGGATATTGATGAAGTGTCGTACTTCGAACTTTTTTGAAGTGTCAACTAACGGTCAAACAGACAGAAAGTTGACGATTTGGATATTAGATTGTTTTCGAAAAGGTTTGGATATTATATTTTTTAAAATAAAAGGTTTGGATATTAAATTGTATTTACCCTTTAATAAATATCTAACTTGAAAACTACCACTGCTAACCCTAAAAAAACACTCTACTAAAGCACACGTAACAGACCACGTGAGCGCTTGTTATTATTATTTTTTTTTTAACATAGTCAGAGAGAATAAGTAAAGTCACATAGTCAAAGTACAGAACTCAACGCCGTGCGGAAGTCGACCAATAGTCGAACTTCCGATGAAAGGGCTTGTTTTGCCACAAAATGGGCGGCCCTGTTAAAGATGCGCTTGGCATACGAGCACGAGCAGTATTCGAACCCCTGCGCCATCCTGTGAACGTCTTCCAGAAGCGCGCCTCCCATCGAATGATGTCGATCCCCGGACAGCACACGTTGAATCACCAGTTGAGAGTCCCCAAAGAATTTGACAGTAAGAAAACCATGGGTTAGACACCAATCCATAGCATCACGCAGGGCTAAGAGTTCTGCTAAAAAAGGGTCCTGGATATCAGAGTAGAACTTACCTAGAGCAAAGGTGAGACCACCTAGTGGCTCGAATCCGACAAAACCAACACTGCACCCACGGTCACATTTAGTGGCTCCGTCGAACCGTACCAACCAGCCTTGCGACTCAGCTGTTCGAACATCCATTACCCGTGCCGCGATGACCCCCGACAGAGATGGGCCCGGACTGCGCGTGCTCCCTGGAACCTGAGCAGAAGGTCCCTCCAAATTATCGCCCTGGCCGGACGTTACTGCTCGCCACTTGTCCCGCTGCATGCGGAATTGTCTCAACAGAGCAGGGGGAAGATACTGGATGCCTCCATGGACCGCCCAGCAGCGCCCTTTCCAGATCCTCCAGCATAAAAAAAACCACTTCCGCCACCTGCACTTTAGACAACAAAGCCTCCTCTAAATTGAAAAACGTTTCAAACATTTCAGTTTAAAAGGAACTTTCACAACAACATAAACTTCCGCAACGACCTTGTTCTTCAAAGAACACAACACCAAACAAAATTTGCTGCACCACCATCGATTAACTCACACATCTCAAGCTAGCCTCTTATCGCACCAGTTTCGATTCAACTTCACTTTCTCTAATCTTCTTCTTGGCAGGCCATGCTCAACTGTTCTCATTTCTAGTTTCTTCATTGTACTCTCTGTACCTGCCCTCTCAGATCTCTCCTCCCATGTCATCCTACAACAAACTTAATTTTACTTGTTACAGCCTCTCAAATTGTTATTCGTTGCACGACATATCAACTGAGTCTTTCTAACTAGTCATCCATCCACCGAATAAGAACCAACCACTCTGCTTTGATGTACATGGATGTAATAGAATTTATACAAGGAGAAGAGTCTGTAACTGTCGGTGATGATTGGAAGAAAAGAAATATTAATCCTTCTTATCTAGCTATTACTAGGAATGGATCATCTGAAGTTCTGATTGTGTTGTATGGGATGGATATGAATGTTGTCTGTGGGTGTTGGTTGCTGCAGTAGCTGTCTGCTGGTAGAATTCATTACACTCCAAACACACTTCCTTGAAATTAGTATTCCCCAAAAGAATCATACTCATACCTGCCAATCGTGACAACAATCAAATACACCTTCCATTCTAGCTTTGATTCATTTCTACAAACTCACGAAGGCCTTGAGAACCGGATTCCTCTCGAAAAAATTATTCGGCCGGAGCTCAAACCCACTGCTCAACGTCGGCATGACCGGAAAATCCTCCTGGCAAGGCACATGATGAATACCCAATGTGTACCACAACACAATGTCTCTGTTCACAATCTCCCTGTCGCCAAGACTCCACTTTGCCAAAGTATCATCCCCTCGACTCTGATCGACATAAACTCCCCCAGCCCATTTCTCACTCTCATTGTACGGCGTGACCCAAACGTTGTACTTGGTGAAAGCTCCCCTGATCTGCACATAATCGTCGTCGGATAACAATGGACTCACGACCGACCCTGGAACCAAACGGTACCCAACGGAGTTCCCAACATCGGTCTTCTTGTTGGGATTCACAAACGTGAAGTCGACTTGCTCGGAACCGGCCAGTTTGATCTTTGCATCGGACTCTGTTTTGGCCGTCTCGACGACTGCTCTCCAGTAACTCTTCCTTGGTGAGGTTGTGCTGTTTGAGACTCTGACCGTTTCCAATTTGGATTTCAGGAACGAGTTTTGTTCTCCATCAACATCGAGATCCAAATGGTATGTGAGGAAATGGTCGTGGTTCGACCCGATTGTGTTCTCGGCCAGTATTGGACCGTAGGATTCGCCGTGGATTTGGTCCTTGTGTGTGTACTCGGATCCTCTCACCTCTAGCACGCCTGTTAACCCAACCTGCAAAATAAAAATCGATTTTCATGGTGATCAAGCAAAAGAAAGACGAGATTAATTTGATTTTTAGTACCGTGACTTTGATGGAGCCGCTCTGCTTGAATTCCCAATCGTTGATGTAGTCATAGTTTCCCACAGTTGAAACCATCCTCACTACCAAGCTCACATCTCGCCTCACCTCTGTCACCTGCCGCAGCAAGCAAAAGGGGGAAAACACCATAAAAAAAGTAGTTCCGAATAAACCCACCAAAAATTACCAATCAGGAAAAACTCACCACTTCCGGAGTAGCGGTCTCGGTGTGGCGCCACATTATGTCGCCGGCGTACCTCTCGAAGATGCAGAAGGCGTTGGGGAGCTGCTGGGGATTCCCGTCCTCGTCGGGAAAGTAGGCTTCCATGAAAACCGCATTAGCAGGGCAGTCGGCGCCGGGAAGCAACGACGAGGCGTACGACCCGTAGCCGTACTCGCCGGCGTCGAAATAGGTCCGGTAGTACCATTCTTCCGTCAAGTCCATGTACGGAACGAAGAGCTCCGACACAAACCCTCTGTACAGAACCCGGCGGAACTTCTGCTTCTGGACGTCGAAGATCGATGCCAATGATATTATGGGCCCGGCCCGCATGTCAAAGCCCAAATGGAAATCCCAGTTGGCCCACCTGATATAGTTTTTATTATTATTTATTTTTAGAAGTCAGTAACCATGTCATGTGTCATTACAATTTAATCAATACATATATAATCTATAACATAAAATACATATATAACACACTGATTTAGAAATGAAATTAACTCTAACCATGAATAATTTCAAATTCAGATCATTTATCACCAAAAAATTATAACAAAGTATTCAAACTATCTCACAATTGAAATCATTAATATTTTATTAAATTCACTTTAGTAATTAGGGCGTCAATCCGTATTGGACTTGTTTGAACCACTATACCCCCCTCGATATTCGGACGTCTCCCTTCGCCTGGCGTCGACCTACACACACACACAGAGGAGGGCGCCTCGGCCCATTAATCCTCCGACGCCCAAGTTAGTATCTTGGAGAGGGCAGTGTTCTTAAGTAGTATTTTAGTGAGAGAGAGTCCAACCTGCATAAATGCTATCGACTGCCCCTATTTATACTCACCGAACCCGAGGCTGATCTCCTCCACGTCACCATCCTCATTTAATGCTCTGTGCCCCCTCTGTGAGACAACTAACTGCCTTGTCAGGCTCCTGACACATGACAGGCATCCCTCTGCTTTGCCAGGCTCCTGACACATGACAGGCGCCCGCAGGCAGTGGTCCACCGGACAGCTGGCCGCCACTGGGCTTTTGGTGTTTTATTCTTTGGGTCCTTTCTCTTGTCTGGGCCCAAGGGCCTCTAGTGGATTCCTTCTTTTTGGGCCTTGCCCCCCAACTCTTTCTTTGGGAGCCCAAACTCCTAGCTGCTGGGTAATACCCCCAACAATTGCCCCACCAGTTAGGTGCTCGTGGCTCCGCCTTCGAGCGCCTGACTGAACCTCTAGTTGTAATCCGGCATTCTCTTAGTTACAGGGTGCTTGTCTCCCGGCGCCTGCATCGTGTTTTCACTTCCTTCCTGGTCTGACGGGGTGCGTTTGTTTCTCCCCTTTCGCGGGCGGGCGTCACACCTTTGGCGGTGCTCCTTGCCGTACGCTCTTCTATGTGCTTCTACGCTTTTTGCCAAATGGGGCGCCTTTTCCAACTACCCCTCACTTTCGGGCGTTCGATCCTCGCCTAGGCTCACTGCTTCGTGTGTTCTCTTTCCGCGATCCTTTTTTATAGGCGCCTTCTCGCGGTGTCCTCCTTGACGTGTGTCCCTATCCCTTATGCCCCCCTCACCCACGCTTTGCTTGCCGGGGAAATTTGGAATGTCGAATTTTAAAAAGGAAAATTCGAAATTTGGAGTTGGGATATTTCCCCAAAAAGGAAAGGGTGGGGGAAGCTCAAGGGTCCGCTCGGGGTCTCGTGGCTCGCGAAAAGACCAAAAGGTGGGGGAAGCGGAAGGGTTCATTCGGGATGATTGACACGTGTCACCCAGCGGGGAGGTTTGGTGGGGCATTCGTTTTTCTTTAAATACCCCTCCCCCCTTGTGATGCTGTCACTTTTTTCCATTTGACCTCTCTCTAGAATTTTGCTCTGACCTCTCTCTAGATTCCGCTCTGACCTCTGTCCTCTTTATTGTCAGTCTTCGCTTCCGACACAGCGCTTCCGTCCAAAAATGTCTTCCCCACAACAAGACAAGTCTTCCGGCCACGGCGCCTCAGGCGCGGGCGCCCCTGGTGCGGGTGCATCGGGCGCGGGCGCCTCTCGCGCGGGTAGTGACACAAGGCGCCCAGTTCAACGTGGTAAGTGGTCCTTTTTCCTTCGTTGGTTTCGTTGAGTTTATTCTAGTCACCTAGGGTAGGGGCGTCACTTACCCCGTGTCCGCGTTGCGTCTGGGTCCTTTGTTGGTTTAGAGCGGGCGCCTGCTTCAGCATCTGGCGGACCGTCATCATCTGCTGGGCCATCAAGTTCTTCGGCGCCTGGTTTCTTTCCTGCCGATGGGTCCTACAAGATCACCTCGTGGGAGAAGTGTTTTCCTCCCGATCATCTGCCCACCGAGACGTCTAACTTACCCTTTGAGGTGGCCGGCCCGAAACACACGTCAACCGTCACTTTGGACCGTGTTCATGAGTTGGTGACCAGCCTCCAGCTTCCCAGAGATTGGTGGTATGCGCCCCCATCGCCTCTGTCCCGGGTAGGCGTCTGTGGCCCGAAGTGGATCGGGATTTATCAAGAGTACTTCCGCTTCGGGCTACAGTTTACCCTTGACTCGATCATGGAGGGAATCCTGACAACCTGCGCCTGTCCCCTCGGGCGCCTATCTCCCTCGGTTATCACGGTCGTCCTTCTGTTCAAGTTGAGGTGCCGGGAGCATAACGTGGAGCCCACCTTCAACTTGTTCAGATATTTCTTCAAGATGGTGTCTCTTGACAATTGCTTGTCCCTCCAGAAACGCAAGAAGCGCCCCTATCATTTTGTGAAGAAGTGTCCCAAGTTGAACCGAAGCTGGTTCAACGGTTTTTTCTTTGTGAAGGCCTATCGAGACTCCTTTTTTGCAAGTGGGGGCGCCTTTGTTAGGAAATGGGAGTTGGGTCAGGTCGAGGCCTTTAACGCGCCGGTGGTTTTGACGGCGTCTGAAAAGGCAGGCGCCCCCTTAATTTGCGAGGGGGAACCCGTTGATTTACGCCCCGCCGAAAACCGCCCGCCTATTATTGAGGCGTACTATAACGATGGTGTGTAGGCATCTAGGTGTTCTATTTCTTTGCTCCCTTGTTTGTGTTATGGACTAACTTATTTTCGTCATATGCAGGGGCGGATTACTCGAGCATCGCCAAGCTGATGAAGAGTCGGCTGGCTACTATGGCAGCGGAGGCGGCGGCGGCGGCGGCTGCACAACAAGAGGCGCCTACTCACCAAGAGGCGCCCGTTCAACAAGAAGCGCCTGCCACTCAATCACGGGCGCCAGCGGCTGGCCCCAAGAAGAAGAAGAAGAGGGCGGTGAAGGGTGGCACCGCTCGTGCGCATACGGCGAGCGTGGCCTCGTCCGCTCCGGAGGAAGGCGAGGGGGCGCCTAACTCCGACCCCGCGGAGAAGGAGGTCAACTCCGCGGAAGAAGAAGAAGAAGAGGAGCCTTTGCTCCGAAAGGGGAAGAGAGCTGGTTCCCCCTTAGCTTCGGCCAGCAAAAGGGCCGATAAGGGAAAGAGGAAGGTGGGCGTCGACGACGACGCCTGCGATGAGGTGGAGGTGGAGGAGGAGGCGGGGGAGGACGCCCATCTCCACCTCAACGAAGAGGGGCGCTACGTTGGCCCCGACGGGCGCCCGCCAATCTTCCGGTCACGGCGGGCCGATGTGGGGCGTGTGAACATGAACTGCTCCCCCTTGGTCGCCGTTGACCGAGGATGTGCCATGGGCTTGGCCATTGCGGCTGCCAAGTCGTGGCAGGTGCCGTCCGAGGTGAACGGGGATCACCTCTTTGCTGAGCTAGCCCGAGTGGGCGCCAAGGTACGCGCTTTTTTACTTGTGCTTTCTGGAAGTTTAGGGAATGATTTTGGTGTTTTCATAACTTGCTGATTTCTTACTCACTGTTGCAGATCCTTCTTTTTGTTGAAAGAGGCGCCCGACGCCTCAACGAGACCAAGCGGGAGGCACTCGAGGCGTCCTCTTCTGCCTCGCAGCTGAAGCTGGACTTGGAGAACGCAACTGCCCGACATGAGCAGTTTGCGAAAGAATGCGAGGACGCCCAGATGACTGCGACCATGGAAGTGTCGCGGCTCCAGGGCGCCCTGGATGAGGAGCGCAGGAAGTTGGCCGACCTGCAAGCTGAGAAGGAAGCGTTGGCGCAGGAAGCCGGTGCCCAGGCCAGCGAGATTGACATCCTCAAGGAGGAGAAGAAGAGGCTGCATGACGCCCACAAGGAGACCGAGAAATCCTTGAAGAAGGCCCAGAAAGAAATTTCCGGATTGCGGCGCTCTTTGGACAACTTCGAGGAGTCAGAGACTGGTAAGGCCATGTGCGCCAATGCCATTCTGACCGACATTGAGATTTTGCGGGTGAAGTTGCAGAAGGACCACCCCGACCTTACTTGGGATCTCTCGGAGATGGCTGAGTACGTGATCGGTAGAATGGAGACGCCTCGCGGCACAAGCGGGGCGCCCGAGCCATCTGTTCCTACCCCTCCTTCTCCAGGGGCGCCTAGTGCTGGGGATGCTAACTCAGGCGCTGATTAGATTAGCAGTTCTCTTGCTTTAACTTTCCTTTTATGCTAATCGGTTTCTCTTGTATTTAACTTTCCTAGTTTTCGTACATTTATATAATATGAGAACGTATGTTTCATTGCCAATTGCCTTCATGCCTTAGTCTGTTTTTTACGGGGGGAAATGAGGCCAATTTGTGTTTTTGGGCGCGAAATGGGGCGCACTTCTCGTGGGGGCGCAATGTTAGGGCGCTTTTGCAAAAGATGGGTGCGGAATGTGGCGCTTTACTCTACTCAGTGTTACCGGGCGCTATTTTGGGGCGCTTTTGTGTCACACGAAATTCTTTAAACTGAACACATCACAATTAGGGCGCTATAGAAGGGGCGCTTTGGTAACAATACGGTGTTGTTTTTTCGGGCGCTTTGGTCACAACACAAACATACCTACATACTTGTCTTAACACAAAACAAACACTTTCTTTCTTTCGCCTTTTTCAAATCGAGGCATCGTCTTCAGATGTTGCGCCCGCCAAGTAAAATCGCAGGTTTTGCGCATTCCATGTTCTTTTCACCACACGGCCGTCAATATGTTCTAACTTGAACGTACTGGGTCCCACCATTTCCCGAACTCGATATGGGCCCTTCCATTTTGGAGCCAACTTCCCTTCGCGGGCGTCGGGGCGGAAGTCTCGTTTAAGGACGAGGGCGCCTTCTGTGATCCCATGGGCGCGCATCTTTTTGTTGTAGTACCGAGCCACCTGCCTCTTCATTTTTTCTAGGCGGATCGCCGCTACTTCCCTCACCTCGTCCACCATGTCTAAGTCATTTGAGCGCGCCTCGTCATTGCCTTTTGGATCATACTGGGCAACGCGGTAACTTGGTGTATTGAGTTCCACCGGAATGACG